GTTGAGGTAAACCTGAACGGAGCAAAGAACAGGGATATCCTCAATGAAAACCTGTTCCACAATACTCAGGACCTCAGACTGGGCCAAAGGCTCGCTTTCCAACATGACACCAATCCTAAGCACACAGCCAAAACAACACAGGAGTGCCTTGGAGACAACTCTGTGAATGTCCTAGAAAGGCCCAACTAGAGCCCTGACTTGACCCTCTTGAACATCTCTGGAGGGACTTGAAAACCTATGGTCGCCATCCGACCTGACTGAGCTTGAGAGGATTTGCAAGGAAGAATGGCAGAAAATCCAGGTGTGCAAAGCTTGTTGTGTCATACTCAAAAAGACTTGAGGCTGTAATTGCTGCCAAAGGTGCTTCAACAAAGTACTGAGTGAAGGGTCTGAATATTTATGCCAATGTCATATCTGTTTTTTCTTTTTAATACATTTACAGACATTTCTAAACTTCTGTTTTTACTTTGTCATTACGGAGTACTGAGCGTAGATTAATGAGAAAAAATGAATTTCAACAACTGTAGAATCCGGCTGCAGCACAACAAAATTGACGAAAGTGAAAGGGTCTGAATACTTTCTGAATGCATATATACATAATATCATTGTATTATATGATGATATCACTATCTGCTATGCTAGGGTTCCTCAACCTTGGCAACTTTAAGACTAAGTGGCTGAGGAATTCTGGGAGTTGAAGTCCACAAGTCTTAAAGTTGCCAAGGTTGACCCCAGTGCTATGCTACTGTCTGGAGATTGGCCTTTTCTTTTCACAGAGCTATGGAGGAAACTATCCCACATAACTCAGCAGTAGCTTACTATATAAAACAGAATGCCATAAGGAACAGACTCTGGGCTTTCACTCCACTAGAGTGTGATACTGCATAGTATCTAAAACTCTAAAGGAGTACTACATAAAGCATTTACTGTGTCAATTTGGAATATCTCACACATCAGATGCCCTGGTATGGGTCAGAGTCGAGAAGCATGCATACCAATTGTACACATTTATTTGGGGTGTATTTTCAATTTACGCACAATTAGGGAAGCAAAATCATAGCAACTAGTAGACCACCCAATTGTATCAGATGCACTATTTCAGCTAATCTGTCAAGTCCATTATGAAACCACTGTTTGGGAAAATGCAGCGAAGGCAAATTTACAAGCTCCAAATCCCACAAAAAGAGAACAGCAGACTAGCCAAGATCTGTTGTTGTCTGTACTAACATTAAAAGGCCTTAATTAGAAATGTACTAGCTTGAATACGAGACAGTAAATGTTAAGGGAAAAAGAGAAGAAATATCTGATGTTGTAACCTGAGATTTGCACTAAAGATTTTGTTATTGAACTATTGATTAACCCAGTCATCAGGTTGCTTTTTAAATACTCAACTGTAAAATTGGAAAATTAATAAAATATTATTTTAAAAGGCCTTAATGTTATGGTTAAACATTATCATCTCTTGATGCACAGAAAGCCAGGGATTTGCACTTCAACAGACACAAACTGAGGTGCAGAATATGTGGGCCAGAACATACACACACATAACAGTGACTAGATATATTTGTGCATTGACAAACAGCAATTATTATAGTCAGTGCTTTTTTTTCTAAAAAAAAAAAAAAGTGCCGGAACACACACACGTCATACAACCTGCCTTGCCTATCCTACAAGGTTCCATCTCAAAAAGGTGCCACAACTCCGTTCTGGGCGTTCTATGAGAAAAAAAGCCCTGATTATAGTTCACAAAATATTACATTATTCGAGAATCAAGATTTCAGTTTCAAGAAGGAAGATGTTATCAATTAAGAGAAACTGTTTTAGTCTCATAGAATCATGACTAAAATTACTCATAATTAGATGAAGTTTCATTGTTGAATGGATTTATTCTATCTCTTATTTTATTTTAGACTCTTCAACTCCAGTGTCTGGTATTAATTAGACATAGAAAAATAGTTTTGTGACATAAGAACAGTTATTTAATTTTCCTATTTTGAAAAGAAAACATTGACCAATAAATATTAGTCAATGCTTAAAAAAGAAAATGCTGCAACTCATCCCCACATTATTTCCTTCAGTGGAAAGATAGATTTTCTAGTTAAAGAAATGTTCCTTTAAAACAAAAGAAAACAAAAGACTTTCCACATTATAAGGGGGGGAAAATCACACAAACATAATTTCTAAGGCCTTTTCTGAGGTTTGCCTGGAGACTGTATGAAAATCAGAATCCATAAAAATATTTCCTTCATTCCCTAAATAAATGCACACCAGGTTGACTTTAATTCATTGGTTGCTTTCCCAAACAAATTGTGTGTGATGAGCAACCTCAGTGGAAGAATTTGGAGCATTTAGAAAAAAGGAACCCCAAAGTAATTAAGAGGCTGGAAAGAAGAACTTGGATTCTTTTATTTTTAATGGAGGAATGAATTATGCTATCATGGTCTACATTTGAAAGTAGGAAATCAACAAATAGTGTAGCATGCGATGACAAAAACAATACCCTGTAGAGAAGAAATTCAATAGCCTCTTAGTTCAAGTAAGAGGGCAACACGGGGTGCGTGTGTTTATGTGTGTGCCTCAAAGTTACTCCTTTTCTTTCATAGTTCCAAGCAATACTCAAAATGGCCATCCCTGCTTCATAAGCTTCTGGGATACACAATCCAAAGTTGGACACACAGCTTTATTATACATATCCAGTGCAGAGTTTATTAGCTTGCTATCATGCTTGGAAAAATGTTCTGGTGTTAATGATAGGATTTTCCTTCATGCATCAGTCTCTGCCAGCTACTTCCTGCTTAGAAATTAGATAGGTTTCAACAGTCATATATATTCTGTTGTGCACTGTGCACAATTATTAGGCGAGTATTTTGACCATACCATTTTCATGCATATTTTCCACCTCCAAGCTGTATAAACTTGAATGCTGGTGGATATAAGCATGTGTATAAGATACGTATTTGTGTAATTAGGCAGAGTGTGGCCTAAGGAGATCAACACCCTATATCAAGGTGTGCATAATTATTAGGCAGCTTCTTTTTTTCAGGCAAAATGGGCCAAAAAAGAGAGTTTGACTGTGAAAAGTCAAAAATTGTAAAAAGTGTTGACATTGCTAAGATATTGGGGCATGATCACAGAACCATCAAACGTTTTGTTGCAAATAATCAACAGAGTCACAAGAGGAAAAAAGACGCACATTAACTGCCAAAGATTTGAGAAGAATCAAATGGGAGGCTACCAGGAACCCATTATCCTCCAGAGCTGTCATATTCCAGAACTGCAACCTATCTGGAGTGTCCAGAGATACAAGGTATTCAGTGCTCAGAGATATGGCCAAGGTAAGGAAGGCTGAAACCCGACCACCACTGAACAAGATACGTAAGTTTAAACAGCAAGACTGGGCTAAGAAATATCTGAACACAGACTTTTCAAAGATTTTATGGACTGATGAGACGAGAGTGACTCTTGACAGACCAGATGGATGGGCCCATGGCTGCATCAGTAACAGACACAGAATTCTACCTCGACTCAGATGCCAGCACTGTGGCGGTGAAGTACTGGTATGGGCTGGTATTATTAAAGATGAGCTAGGTTGAAGATGGACTCAAAATCAAAAACTACTGCCAGTTTTTAGAAGACACTTTCTTCAAGCAGTGGTACAGGAAAAAGTCTGCATCTTTCAAAAAGACCATGATTTTTATGCAGGACAATGCTCCATTACATGCATCTAAGTCAGTGGTTCTCAGCCTTTTTAATGCTGTGACCCCCAACCGGTCGTAAGTCGAGGACTACCCAACCGGCCATAAGTCGAGGACTACCCAACCAGTCGTAAGTCGAGGACTTTCCCTGCCCGGGAGTGCCGTGCATGCGTGGTGCTGCCCCCTGTGCCAGCCGAGGCGTAGCTGGCAAGTGGCAGAGATGGCGCAGGCCGACCACCTGGGCCACCAGCTGGCCCAGCCCAAGGGAGGTAAGGCACCCACCGGGCCCCACGGGCGCCAGCAACCCTCCCTGCACCCGCCGGCCTCCCACCTCCCACCCCTGGCCCTCTTTTACTTACATTTTTAGAAGTTGCTCAGCAGGGAGGGGTGGAAACTTCCAGACAGCTTGCCTTCGCTTCAGACAACTTGCTGCACCGTTTGCAGAATGGGACTTTTGGCGGTCTCAGCAGGGCAGAGACAGCCTGGACAATTCCTATTGGCTTTTGAAAGCCAATAGAATTAGACTCTATTCAAGAGAGTCTATTCTATTGGCTTTCAAAAGCCAATAGAATAAAAGGGAGTAGCACAGCTAAGGAAAAGGGGGGAAAATGGCGGACTGCGTTGTTTGGCGACCCCCGTGAAATGGTCGTTCGACCCCAAATGGGGTCCCGACCCACAGGTTGAGAACTACTGATCTAAGTATTCCACTGTGTGGCTAGCTCAGGGGTCTTCAAACTTGGCCCTTTTATGAATTGTAGATTTCAACTCCCAGAATTCCTCAGCCAGCATGTCTGGCTGAGGGATTCTGGGAGTTGAAGTCCACAAGTCATAAAAGGGCCAAGTTTGAAGATCCCTGGCTAGCCAATAAAGGCTTTAAAGATAAAAGAATAATGACTTTGCCCCCTTCTCACCTGACCTAAACCCTATTGAGAACTTGTGGCCCTTTCTTAAATGGGAGATTTATGGTGAAGGAAAACAGTGTCTGAACAGTGTCTGGGAGGCTATGGTTGCTGCTGCACAAACGTCAACAGATCAAGAAACTGACAGACTCCATGAATGGAAGGCTTATAACTGTTATTGAAAAGAAGGGTGGCTATACTGGTCACCCAATTTTTTAAAAAATGTCAGAAATGTTTATTTGTACATTTTAAGTTGTTTATTATTCTCACTTTTAAGAGATGCAAATAAATGAGTGAGATGGGCAAATTTTCATTTTTCGTTTAGTTGAGTAATAATTCTGCACACTAATAGTTGCCCAATAATTGTGCACACATAGATATTCTCCTAAAAAAGCCAAAATCTCACTTTTACTTTCTTAAACATTCAGGTTTGAGGTTTATTAACATTTTGGATTGACTAGAGCACTGTAGGCATACAATTTGCCTAATAATTGTGTACAATGTAGAACGTATGCCGTTATGGCAAATTTTTTCAACAGTTTTAGAGGGGAAAAATCCAGATCACCAGTTTGCATACAGCCATGCCCCAAATCCACATAACCATTAAAAATAATTATTCCAAAGTAACTTAACAAACCTAAGACAGCTGAGAATGCTGAAATTAAAGATCAGTCACAGCAGCCATGATTCAAGCTCTGTTAACATTTACTAGAACAGCTGAATTTTACTAATATAGCCCTGCCAAACCCAGAAACATTTTCAAATATTGAAAGACTTGAAAATATCAGCAGATGAAGGGCTCATTTTTCCATATAAAACACATAATGGGTATCTGTGTCAGTTTATTTACGACAGCCTAGAAAATGAAGGTTCTGTAACAACTTCAAGCAGGATGATCAATTTCAGAACACTCTGGAAGTACATGTGCATGTCGATGTGAGTGTGTGTGTGTGTGTGTACACATACATACGTACATGTGAATGGGTGATGTCTTCTTTTCTGTAATTTAAGCCCATTATTTCTTACCCTATTTTCCAGAGACAATCTGATCAGTTATTTCTTTTCCATTTTTACCTATCATCCTTTAGAAAACGGACGTGAATTCAGACTGCATTTCAAGTGCTGTGAACATTTTAGGGGAATTATACTCACCAACATATGAGAACTTTTAAATAACAAAGACAAGCAAAGATTTAAATCTGGAATAGAAAATACAGATGTATTCTGTTTTATTCTATAACTGTGCTAGGGTTTGTGTACCTGCCAAGAGATGAATTATATTTGGACAGACCTGACAAAAGAGCTCACAAACAGCACATTCTAATTCCTAAAACAAAACATGAGGCGTGTAGTGTTATTCTTTCCAGTCAGACTTATTGCAGACATCACTGGCATGGTCCAACTACTGGAAACCAATGGGAATATTAATATTGCCTATTAAGCCCAATTTGATCTCATGAATCCAGCCTGCCTGTCACCACAGCACTCCGATAAAGGTGTTCTGAGGTCAAGAGGATGTAATATCAATGGGGCTTCACTATTCCAAGAAAAAAAGAAGGCAACAAAACTATCTCTGGCAAGCGTCAAATCAATTTATAGGAAACCCCAAAAGTAGGTTTTAAATGACATGTTTTTCAAAGTGAGAATAGATGCTGGAACTAGTTCTAAAAACTGACTGGCTGAGCTTTAGCTACAGCTGAAGACAATCAATCACAGCACTGAAAATCAACTGGGGGAAGGGGGAAAAAGTAACCGGACATGTAAAATAGTTACAAACCATTCTCAGCTTTGAAAAAAATACAACGAAAGGGAAGGATCTTAGTGTTTTATCTGCAGTTAAACATCTTCTAAATCACTTCCAGTGGACTGCTGCAAAAAAAGACCAGCTATGGTGTAAAATACAGAATGCTGGAAAGTAGGATGAAAATGTATTTGACAAAAAGCCACTTTATCAATACTAATATATTGGTCTTCTCCAATTTGATGCTCTCCAGATGTGTGGGATGTCAATTACATATTGGCCAGCACACCTGCAAGACACTGGATATGGGATGGATGCATTCCTACTATACCCACAACCTCCATTTGGAGTGAACAAACATTACCACTTGAACCATTGGGAAGAATGAATATTGTCAGGAGGAAACAGAAATGCTTTTTGAACAAAAAAATTGCTGTGGGAGTAGCTGAACTGCAGTTATTTTCATCAGATAAGACCCGATCTTATTTATGGAACAACCCTAATAAAAAAATAGCGTATCATGAAGTAAGAGACACGCCCAAATTGCCGTTTCCATATGTTAAACACAAAATCTACGGCAACCATGCCTGAATGAAAAATCAAGTAGTTTCAGCCCTACCAGTGTGTTTTTGCTGTTGCTCGTATTAGATGAGGGAAATAATGTGTCAATGCTGCAAATCCCTATTCTATATTTTGTTTTCAGACAGAGACTAGTCTAATGTGTGCCAGAGATATAGGTGGGTCTTCTTCAGGAAGGAGTAAGGAAAAAAGTAATTCATGTAGGTGAGAAAAAAGACCACTATGGGACACCTGAGAGTCCAAAGCAAGCTCAGTGTACTCAGAACCATCAACTCATTTCTTGATTTTTTTTTTCCCTTTTGTGAAACTCATATCTCAACACCTCCTCAGTCCCACTTTCCTTTGTGAAGCCTTTTGTTCATTCAAAGGCACATGACTTTCTACCAAGCCAATATGGACAGAGTCCTTCCTTGGTTGGCCATGATCTAGAGCAGGGGTGTCAAACTGCTGGCCTCTTGGCCAGATGCGTCACCAGGAAACCGCGCCAACCCCTTTGCCGGCAATGGGAAAAAAAGCTCCGATATGTCATGTGACGTCACATGACATCACGAGTTTGACATGTCTGATCTAGAGAATCATCATTATTTAAGCAACAATCGAACGTCAAAAGCTGCTTTTGATTTTTCACTAACTTTTAAATACATCATTTCCACTGTTAATCCCACAGATCCTGATACTGAGATAGAATCTTAATCCCAAAGGTGTAATTGTTTATAGAAACTGCAGTTTTAAACCAAACCACTGGAACAATCTCATCCAACAAATCATTTTCTTTTTTTTTCTTTCTGCATCCTCCTGATGTCTTGCCAAAACAGTCTTCAGATATATCCTAGGGAATTATGTAGTTTTCCTCATACATTGTTGGAGTAACATACAAACCAAACTCTTATTTCAATTTAAATTAGTCATCCATGTCATAAACGGACCATGCCATCTCCTCTGCCTTTTCCTCACAAAGCACTATAAATACTCTTTTTTGTAACTTCACTGTTTTAGCTGTCATTATTGTCCACTGTCTCACATAAAAACAAGAATTCTATTAAAAATCAAGCGCTTAACATAAATATTAAAATAATAGTAAGGACAAAATATAACTCTATATCAAACTTCATAACTACCGTAGCACCTATTACCATAAACAAAAGAAATCTGATTTGACAGTAAATTAAGTATGGCTAGTCGAGAGGCTGGTTAACGAGCCCTAAAATATCATCATTTAAATCACTCGTATATTTTTTGTTTATGGTTGACAATCTTATTAAAATTCATTTCACTAATCAGTTCATTCTATATCACTATGAATACCAAAGAACCCTTTAAAAAAGCCTTCAAGGGAAGGAGATTGGGATTTTACAAAAAAATAAAATAAAAGGAAAATGGCCACCAGTTAAGTTCTCCTCTGGCTTTCCTGTGATGAAGGCTGTCCTACCATGACCCCCTCTTCCTTAATCCCACCAGTCCATCAAAGGGTAAAATAATGAACAAGTCCATTTTTCAGTTTTCCAGGATGAGTTTGACAAAAGAAGCCACATCTGTTTCTTTGGATTCATGAAAGGAAAAGAAGGGGTGTTGCTAAAAAAAGAAAAGAAAGAAAGAAAAAGGAAGCAATGAGTGGAAGAAGACAAAATTTCCCAATAAAAATCCATATTTTTTAATTTGTTTGTTTGCATCCTGCCTTTATTATTTTTACAAGATATACTCAAGACAGTGAGTATATCCAATATATCCTCCTCCTCCTGTTTTCCCCAGTGAGATGGGTTGGGCGGAGAGAGAATGACTGACCCAAAGTTACCTAAGCTGGCTTTCATGGCTAAAGCAGGATTTTAACTCAGTCTCCCCCTTTCTAGCCTGGAGCTGTAAGCACCACATCAAACTGGCTTAAATTTCTAGGGAAATACTTCTTGAGTGCCATGACAGAACCTTATTCACCTCATAACCAGTTTGCAGGCTTTCCGTTGAGGTTTTTTTTCACTCTTCAGCATAGTGACTGGGTGCTTAGTCTGCACTGGTCTTGCACCCCAATGCAAGTATGGCTTATTGTTTCTTGAGGGCACAAAGACACAACTGCTTCTCTACTGCCCTTAGCCTACTGAGATTACAACCTCCACCCGTTGTTTCCTGCTCATCAAAAGTAGCATTTCCTGATTTCTACTGCCTCAGGCAGTGTTGTTCATTTTGCCTGCTATACTTCATTTCATTATAAGTGAAGTCCTCCAAACTAATTGGCTGCTGGCCACTGTTATTGCTGCCCATGTATTTATTTTTTGTGGTTTCCTAGACCAATGAAACACTAGAGTTAATACAGCAACAATTCAAACAGGTTCACCGGCAAATACAGAAAGGCTGTTTGTTTGTTTGTTTAAAATACAACTTCATATCTCTTTTTTAAAGAACGCTGAACTATAATGAAGTCACTGGAAAGTTTTGATAAGCTACCAAAAAAAAAAAAAATTAGGTACCTCAGTATATATATTGAAAACTGTGGCAATAATAAAAAGCGGAGCTCATATTTTCCATTTGTGTGTGTGAGCATTATGTGCATTTATATATTTCAATTTATAGACAAGCAGAAGCAAAAATGACTTGGATTAGAAACCTACTGATTCATCAATCCCTGATGCTAATTTATAAAACATCATATCAAACAACTCCAGCATTTGAAGGAAAATCCTTCCTTCCTTCCTTCCATCCATCCTTCCTTCCTTCCTTCCTTCCTTCCTTCCTTCCTCATTCAGTGATTTCAAAACTGTACCTGGGTGTTCTTCATTCAGATGAATATATGTGGGCAAACAACAAGGGAGAGCTAGGGGCAAGCTCAGACATGGTCCTTACAGGCACCAGCAGCTCTATAACTGACATTTCTTTTGATTATGTAAAGGCTAAAGCAGAGTACAGAAATATTGGGATGGCACTATTCTACTTGCCTCCTCGTGTCTGTTCAAAAGAATGAGAGAAACCTAAGTTACATTTGAACTCAAGAAGATAAACTCACCATTAGCTCGGGATATGTAGGTCTTTCTGTGGAATTTTTCTTCAAGCTTTGAAAAAAAAAAGAAAAATACATATTATTTTATGTTCCGTATATAAACAAGAAACAAAGGCCAACCTAACCCCAAAAAAGCTACAGATAGGTCTCTCTAAAGCCGAATGGATAGAAATTATGCTTAAAACCAAACTAATACATCCTTAACAATATAAATAAATTCCAAAAAAAAAACCTCAAATAAAGTAGGGGGATTAAAAAGGCTTTGCTATTTTAATATAGAATGTTGGGCTATAAACGTTTTTAAAAAGCAATCATACTATTTTGCACAAATTCAACAGCACCATAAATATAAGTTTTGATCCATATCCCCTCTGACCTTAATTTTGAAGCATCAGCAGCATATGTGCAGTAACCACATCTCACAAGCACAAGAGTAAGGCAGAATTATATGAGTGAAATTAAATTCCACATGTGAAATCTAATTTGTATCTGGCTGAAGTACAAGTAAGTGGAATAAATGTAGCTTCTTTAAGCAGCAATGGTCTGTACCTTTGAGTTTACAAATTCAAGAGTAAGACAGAATAACATTAATGTAATTTACAATCTCATATAAAAGAGGTTAAAGAAAACTTTAAATGTATCCTGTGATGGCACATTGTATCAATACATATTAAATATGATTTACCATATTCATTTGATTTTATATCGGACACAACAAGATTTTGCTCATTTTTGTTCCTTTTAAACAAAATCCAACTTAGAAAGTAGTTCCCCAGGTAACAGTATACAAGCTACTCATACATTTTAATTTTGTTTACTGTATTAGAAGGAATAGAATAGAATAGGAATAGGAATAGAACAGAATCTGGAAGGGACCTTGGAGGTCTTCTAGTCCAGCCCCCCGCTCAAGCAGGAGAACCTATACCATCTCAGACAAGTGACTGTCCAGTCTCTTTTAAAAACTTCCAGTGATGTAGCACCCACGGATTTCTGGAGGCAAGCTGTTCCACTGGTTAATTGTCCTCACTGTTAGGAAGTTTCTCCTTAATTCCAGGTTGTTTCTCTCTTTGATCAGTTTCCAACCATTGTTTCTTGTCCTGCCCTCTGGTGGTTTGGAGAATAACGTGATCCTCTCTTTTTTGTGGCAGCCTCTCAAATACTGGAATACTGCTATCATGTTACCCCTATTTCTTCTTTTCTTTAGACTAGCTAAACCCAAGTCCTGCAGCCGTTCTTCATATGTTTTAGTCTCCAGGCCTTTAATCATCTTAGTTGCTCTTCTCTAAACTTTTTTTTCCCCAAGGTCTCATCATCTTTTTTGTAGTATGTTGACCAAAATTAGTTGCAGTATTGCAGGTGTGGTCTCATTAGGGCAGGGGTAGACAACCTTGGCTCTTTTATGACTCGTGGACTTCAACTCCCAGAATTCCTGAGCCAGCATGGCTCAGCATGGAAACCTCCATTTCCCTTCAGCATGGCTGGTTCAGGAATTCTGGGAGTTGAAGTCCACGAGTCATAAAAGAGCCAATGTTGCCTACCCCTGCACTAGGGTTTTATAAAGCAATACTAATACTTCACGTGATCTTGATTCGATGCCTCTGTTTATAAAACCCAGGAAAAAAGAAAACTTTTAAAAAGTTCCTTCTGAATTCACAATGGCAACTGCTTGAACCTTCTGAAAATTAAATTGATTTTAAAAAAGTAATTCAGTTCTGCTTTCAAAACTGGCATTTCAACAGAGGTCAATATAATTCACAGCATGGCAAAAAAAATGGTTTCCTTTTTTTAATGGCTGCTTTCATGATAATATCATCCTTATGTTTTCATGCTATAAATAATATGTGGAAATTTCTAATAAAGCTTGGCTTCTGCTTTATATACTTGGTGAATGTTTTACTGTGTAGTTTTATGAGTTTTCAAGTTTGACCAAAAACAGCTTTAAATGTAAAAGAGAAATTATGCCAGTTATTTATTCCTTTAACAAACAAATGTCAAACATTTTTAAAAAACCAAAAATGCTGCTATTCACTCATCTATGAGTAGACAACTAATGCTGAAAAAATTTCTGGCTCGTTTAAAATTTTCAATATGGCAACCAGAATCTCATTTTCCCAATTTACTGGTAAATATTTTTAGAGTTGGATTTTTTTTACATCCAAAATATGTAATTCAGAAAATAAGGACACCCTTATATTTTATACCATACATTCTGGCTTTAAATGGATACCCTCCCTTACCTTCCACACCAAGACTATTCATAATTCAAATATGACACATTTATATGGTGTGGAACTTGGTTATACAGAAGTGAATTATATATGTTAACATTGTTTGAGTATCTCTTAAGGCCATCGGTGTAGTCACATATCCATTCATTGAGGAGGGAAAATACAGAAAAGGTCTAGAATTTGAATCCTATAGCAGACATATATTAAGGCTTTGATTTTTGTGACTACAATAAATGACTTCCAGTTTGTCCTGGAATAACAAGACTATTAACTTCTCAAATTGTGCCTATGAGCCTTCTTAGAATAAGCCAAATCCTGAATAAGGGATTAAGTACCTGAAGAACTAACATTCAAATTCTAGGTAAAAACAACAATTCAAGTGCTATTAATACCTGCTGATATTTGTGAAGGTAAAAAAAAATGAGCAGCTTTTTCTGTGTGTTTAATACTCTATTAGCCAAGTCAGAATAAATAGTGAGTGCCAAGAACGGAGAAAATGGTATAAGCACCAGGTGGTTTAACATCTTATACAAAATGAACAAAATAGATTCTGAGTTAAAACATATATAGATATGAGTTATTTTAGCATTACTGACAAAAGATGCTCAAGATTTCTCAAGTATCCCACTTACTCCAATAGAGACATTAGTCCCAAATTTTAAAAATGAAAACAAGAGCCATATTTGACTCCATGCAAATCCAAAATAGAATAGATTGAGAAAATTTCTATTTCTGATAAACTGTAGCAGGATGGATTGCTCTAATTAACCTTGGTCTCAGTTCACAATGTTTTATTATGATCAATCTCTTAATACAGAGCTTGAGAATACCATGATGTGCTCAAAAGTAATTTTGGATGCTTGTAAAATTCATTTGGATCTAAGGACTGACCACTCTGCCTTAAATCAGAGTAATCCTTGTGACTAGGTTACCATTGCTTGTTCAATCCTTTTACAAAAATCACTGATTCTTGCTGTTTACAACTTCCTATCCATTGAAGTAAGAAAATATTTTGCAGTTGTCTTAAGAGCTACAATTGTGTTTAATAAAAAAGATAGATGCATTAATCTCTTACACATCACCACAGCCAACTTCACCAAATTCAGGAAAAGGTCACATTATTTCTTGCTATCATCTTTCATCTTTCTGTATGAAGCCCTCAGCCTATCTACTTGTAATATTCATCACAATATCCGTATTTTTTAAACACAGAATCAAAATTTAAAAAAATATTTGTACCATTTTTATGAACATTGATATTCATATGCTTAATTACCTAACATCAACATAACTTTCAAATAAATTTAATGCCGGGGCTAAGGGACAGGGAGAGAAAACAAAATTACATTGAACTGCAGCAGATTTTATTTCCTTCGTTCCCTAGTAATATTCTTTGTTGCAAACTTTATCCTATTTAAAAATGATTGCAATTATTTATCTAAGTTTCCTCATGAAATAAAATGTTGAAGTAGATCTCTATTTTTATGATATTCAAGTTAGGAAGGGCTAACCCCTCTATTTAGATAGACAATGTCATAGTTGGGTTGAGGATCTGGGATGAACGGTAGTTATTGCATTGTCCTAATTTTAAGAAAAGACTATACAAGTAGTTCTCGACTTACAACCATAATTAAGCCCAAAATTTCTGTTGCTAAGAAAGACATTTATTAAGTGAATTTTGCCCCACTTTACGACCTTTATTGCCACAATTGTTAAGTGAATCACTGCAGTTGTTAAGTTAGGAATATGCTTGTTAAGTGAATCCGGCTTCCCCACTGACTTTGCTTATAGGAAGGTCACAAAAAGTGATCACTTGACCCCGGGACACTGCAATCAGTTATCAAGCATCTAAATTTTGATCACATGACCATGGAGAAGCTACAATGGTCATAAGTGTAAAAAACGGTCGTAAGTCATTTTTTTCAGTGCCATTAACTTTGAACTGTCACTAACCAAACTGTTGTAAGTTGATGACTACCTGTATATGAAATCAAAGAGTAGATCTTTGAAAAGTCACTTGATTGGCACATTACTAATGTATGCTTTGATTCTGGAGTTGCAGTTGATTGAGATCATAGACATCTAGCAAATACTAAATGGAAAGGTCATCTAGTCTCTTCTTTTCCCTGCATGTCTTTCACAAATGCTGCAGATAATATGGATCACCATTTACTTGGGTTCCTCGAGGATGAGTTCCAGTTCCCATCCTATATTCATAAACTCAATGATGTTCAAATTAAAACCCTTTGACTTACCTACTAGAGCCATGACGCGTTTATCATTATTACCAGGGAGCAAAGTGGCATCGCTTAGTCACACAGCTTCTCCTACCATTGATAATCATGGCTGAACTGTGGCCCATATATCTGCGTGAGCTTAAATGGACTCCAGAAGATGGTAGAGGACAGGAAGACCTGGAGGAACGTTGTCCATGGGGTCACGATGGGTCGGACACGACTTCGCAATTAACAACAACTCTTATAAGACGGAATCCTGATTGCACAATGTTCTAACTTCCAGGGCAGATTATATAAGCAGGTCTGCTTATAACAGGTGTTCATGCCCAGCAATTAAGGTTATCAGGGTTGACAGCAAGCAAAGCCTTCAGAACTTTAACTCCACAGTGAGTTTACAATTACACTTTCATGTGTATAATGGATAAAAAGAAATTAGGACTGCAGGCTATGCTTAGGATGGAAAGTAAAGACAAGCTTTATGACCTACGTTCTGTGAAAGAACTAATGGATCTCTCTTTGAAAATTGCAGTTCCAAAGATGCCTTGCAGAAAACAGGTACAAACCTGACACATGCTTGTCTTCAAATA